GACATGTTTGTACAGCATGTGTGATAAAGTTTTATTTTAAAATTGTTCGCTGATTATACAGGTGTATGTTTAACCTTTGAATTGATTATGGATTCATTATAGTAAATATATTCGAAACACCGTCTGAATACAAGTTACACAACTCAGTGGACAAAAGAAAATGAGTAATATTTTTTCAAGTTTGATGCATCAAATTATCATTACAATCTTTCGGGATCTTGGAAGTGTAATTGAGTAATTCATTTCTTTCTTGTATGTTCTTCATGATTTGCATCCTGATTTTTCTATTGTACTTAGCTTACAGAAGAACAACAATAATTATTCATGGTATTTTCGAAAAAAAAACAAAAAAAAAAGCGACCATTTACAGGAAAGGCGTTTTTATGATTTTTTCTTTCATATAAATAATGTTGTGCACTCTGCGAATTAATCACATATTACTCATTCAACTCTAACTAACATGTGTGATGAGTCTATAGAATTTTATCAATATTAAACATGAAATATTTTGAAGCAAAGTATCGATATCGTTGAATTCTGCCGTATCAAGCTTAGTTTGTTGTGGATAATGGTGTTCGGTCTTCCATACGATAAACATCTCCTACGATTTCTCTAACACTTAGACTTACTATTTTTACCCTCAATTGTCCACTTTCGTAAATCTTATTCGGTATTGATGTTTAAGCACTATAGAATATCTCTCTTGATATAATGCCTAATTTTGAAAAGTTAATCGAACCTTTGAAAACGTCCACCACCACAATTAAAGTCAAGGTGGCGGATAAGTATTTTCTGCTTAAATTACAATACACAATAAACTGACGGTTTGATAACAGTTTAATCTCGTATTAAAATACATTTTGTGTTCCCATTGTATAAATAATTACGCAATCTCGATTAAATTTTACAAACAGTTACAATGTGTTGGAATGTATGTTGAATTTAAAAGGGTTCAATAACAGGAAAGAACCCCATCTGTTCAAGAGTCTTTTTCATCGCTTTTGAGTTACTTATTTAATGTAGCTTGTCTAAACTTTGCAATGTATAAACTGAAATTTAAATGTATCATTATGACTAGTGTAGGACTTCGTAAAAAATGTGCGATAATGTGAGCAAGTAATTCTGCAAGCATATCGAGAGAAAACCATATTTACTTAATAGTCACAGCTACCACACCTGTGTTTCCGCTTTCATGTTTCGTAGTAGGGCTCGAAACCTATTCCATGTTAACCATACAATGTTTAAAACAGTGGTGGTATTTCCACGAATTACTTTTACCCAATATCAAGCCTCAATTATCAACAAAATGTGTTAAATTTATAAAGGTATGACAACATTCGACTGTTACCTTACCTTTATTAGTTACTTTATTTTTATGGAGGCACTCGCAATTTTAAATTAGTACTTGTTGAGTTGCATGTCCGATTGTTCTAAAATCAATGTAATAGAATAAGAACCGATCGGTAAACACACAGATAGGGATGTAACGGAGTGTATGTCCTTCTCTAAGTAATTGTATATTGACATCAATGTTTCCGAAGACTTTTGGAAATCCAAAGACAAGCCTACTCAGCAGGAATTATCACCTTTTGTGAGATAAGACATATCGTGCTTATGTACGGAAAATACTCCAAACAGAATAAATGTAATTAAAATTTCAACAAGCAAGTTGCGAAAAAAAATTCAGCTTGTTAGCGTCACCCCATTTATACCAAAATGAGTCATTGATCTTAGTATGCGAGTGGGCCAACAAAAATTTTAGGCATTCCATTTCAAGTTTTTCGTCCAAGTATCTTTGATACTTGTAAGCAGGTAAACCACTTCTCTATCGTCAATTTTTATAAATTGCATCTTTTAAATTCTTATCAGTTGGTTTCTACTGTTATGTCTGCGATCAGTCTGCTCGGGTCGGCTTCCTATCAAATATTGCCAATATTGAGAAAAAACGTTTCTTCTTACCAAAAGGTATACATGGACGTGGTACATTACTTACTTACGCCTGTTACCCCCAATCGAGCATAGGCCGCCCACCAGAATTTTCTCCAATCAGAACTCTGTCCTGTGCTTCCCTTTCCAGTTCTGTCCAGTTCTGTTCATTCCTCTCATATCTTTATCTATTTCTCGGCGTAATGCATTCTTTGGCCTTCCTCTTTTCCTTTTTGCTTTGAGGGGTTCCATGTGAGGGCTTGTCTCGTGACGCAGTTAGGTGCTGTTTCGTAGTGTGTATCCTAGTCCACTTCCAACGGCTTCTTCCTCATTTTCCTCCTTCACTTGCATTCTGATTTTTTCCTCCCATAGTTCGGTTGTTGCTGATGGAGTCTGAGTCAACGAATACGAAGTATTTTGCGTAGACAACGTTAATAAACACTTGTATCTTCTGGATGATGGCTTTGGTAGTTCTCCATGTTTCCGCTCCATACAGTAGAACTGTCTTGACATTTGTATTGAAAATCGGTGATTTTGGTTTTGATTGAAAGTTGTTTGGAGTTCCAGATATTTCAACTGTAGAAATGCAGCTCTTTGCTTTGCCAATCCTGTGCCCTCACATCTGGCATCGGGATCCACCTTGACTTTGTAAGGCTGTATGTTATTCTATAGTCAACATACTGATTATTAGTATAAATTATAGTCACTGTAAAATTTCATAGAGCCTTTATCTTTGTTGGACAAAGAAACTTGTGTTTAAATCATTTAATGTTTTTCACAGTTATCTTCATTTACATTAATCTCCTCACTCCATTTGTTTTTTCGTATATTATTTTTTATACTACTTGTTAAAAGTCAGTAAATAGTTCTGTGCCACAGTGACAATATTTGAGGCGGGGCATGATTTAACGTAAATTCGTTGTGATATCTTAAAATATTCACATTAGCTAATAGCATGTATTTTATTTACTGGTATTGTTACTTTCTGTCAACTTTTTATCATTTATTCCAGTTTTTTCAGTATTCGTTGGATTCTTGTTTAGTCTTGCATTGTCTCTTAGTTCCCGTTTTGTCTGTTGATAAAACTGTTGGTTAACATTAGACAGTAGCTATCAAGTTGTGATGCACTTTATAGTATGATGTTGTAATTACCTTTGGTATTGTTGTTGCAGAAGGCTTTTTTTCATTCTAAAATTATAGATGCACTACAACGTGAGGTGTTATAATGAATCTATGATAATTCATCTTGATATCCAACCATTTTGAGATTAAATGGGTGGTTTTTGAATATCAATTAAACGCGTATCTCAACCGTGTGATTGAGAAGGGTTCGATGGAATTAACGATTTCATTTGTAGTGATGTATGACTAATGGAAAAATATAGTTTGAAGTTCTTGGATAGAATAAATTAATAAGATAATCTTATGTTTATATCAAACTATTATGTATCCATACTTCGTAAATGTATATCTGTACGTATAAAAACATGTATTTAACGCAGGTAACTTCATGTGCATTAAGATTTTCAGATATAATTAGATTTGAATCATAAAGGAAAAGATTGAACAATCTTTTGTAAGCTTCATTCATAAATTTCAATCGGACTGTATGATTTAGGTTTAGAAATTTTACTGATTTCACTTAACTTACTTTCATTGTGATTTCATTATTATTGCTGACTCTAATTTTCTTATCCGGTCGGAGTTATTATAAATAAGCATTGGTTTTCATAATACTGATGTAGATATTTATTTTACTATTATAGTGATTAATCAATGGTATACTTAGTACTCTCACTTTCAGATTCTGATAAAGCAGTCAAATATGCAGATGTATGCTATTCCCTGTGATTGGGTATTGTATAGTTGTACTTAAGTGTAACAAAATCAATAAATTTCCTCAGTTAATGTGATATATCTTCATAGAATTTTGAAAAATGCCTTAAAATTTATTGTAAGTCTCGTCCTCTTGGTTTGAAGTAGATCATATTCAGTTTAGTTGCATCTGTTTGAGTTTCGCAAGCATTCATTTTTAAATATAGTCAAGGATATTCTCAAGTGATAAGACATTTCACAGTGTGGTGCGCGCTACTTATAAGTAGTATATGACGTGAGTGTCAACGTAATGTCTGGCAGCAGAAGATGGGGGAAGATCAAGAAAGGAAGAGTGGGAACACAACGGAATTTGTATGAAACGCATGAATGGTGAAATGTCAGACAATGGATTGATGATGGATTGAAGATTTGCAAATTAACCGTTTACGATTTGGTTTTCCGATTTTACTGAGTAACTCTGTAATTTTCGTTCAATACAATTCAGTTGCCCTCACCTGTGTTCTCCTTCACTACAACAGTATTATGGTATTTGTTCATTATTAAATACATCAAACTACAATGCATATTGATTAAAATCATAAATGGATCATTATTTGACCACCATTAGAAACCTGAATCGCCGTTTCGTCCCAATGTGGGACTCTTCATGGATGAGCATTCACGTTGCGCACTTGCTGGAATAGAACCCAGGATCTTCGGTCTAGCACAAGAATGCTTAATCTCTCGACCACTGAGACGTCATCTGACGGTGTTAATATCTAACTCTGACCAATATAAGGTTTTGCCCAACCTCACCTATTGTTTTCGGTAGTTTCTGCCTTCACCCGACAGAGATGAACTGCAGTGATCACGGTTCATCATTTCACTAATGCCGTTACTTTTGTATAATTCTAACATTTTAAAATCGAAAAAGTAGATTTTCATTCGTGTTACTAATCAGCTATTTTATTTATGGAGGTCTATGTATTGCAACTTTGCAAGTATTAAATAAGTTATCAAGGTTTTTTTTTAATGAGATCACTAACAATATATATTTCTTCTTTTTCATATATACTGTAATTGTTGTTGTCTATCATTCATCTATTTTATTTGCGTTGAATTTGTTAAAATACATGTACCACTTCAAAATATTTCTTACTAAATTAAAAATAGCCAATCAGCAATGAGATTGATGTTGACGTCAGTTTCGAACTGAGATTTGATATGATGAGTTATTTGTAAGTACCACATTTAGTCATCTATATATGTATATATATATACATGATAAAATTCTAGTGGTCTACTTACTGAAATTCCGTCTGATAAGTGTATTACCGAATGGAAATGTCAGATCAAGATGGTAATCTACCTGCTGATGATAACAAGGCAGATACTAACACGACAAAACCACTACGTAAAGAACCATCTGGTTGTTGTGAGAACTATTGCCATGGAATGTTTCGAAAGAAACATTACAAAGAGATAATTTACAAAGATGTTGGTAGATCTTTAACAACCATAAGTTTGATTCTATATGGTTTATGTAAGTTTTCAGCAAATATTTTGAAGTTTTGTTTTCTTTATATATATATATTTTGATATGTTGTTTACAATGATATGCTTTATCACTTCAATGAAACCAGATAGTAAAGAAGAGCTGTTTTAATTGATTTTGCGATTCCTCAGTACTACATGATATCTTGTTGACAAGAGAGACAGTGTGTTGATTGTCTTCGTTAACTTTATACACTTGTAAGTTTAGAATCTTCGAGACACTTTTCATATGCTGATTATTTAAAAAATTGAACATGTTTCAGCCAATAAAATTATGTTTCAACATTTTAATTCTATGACAAAGATACATAGACAAAGAATATTGTTTGAATTTAATTCTCATCGATATCTACGGCTACAAATCTAAATTATTCACCTTACTAACATCTACTAAGTTTCCGGCAAACGGATTAAACATATTGCATGGAACTGCTAAATTAGTCTTTAAGAGGTTGTAAGTGTTAAGATAACTTGTTCTTAAGTGCTCATCATAATCAATGACACATTAAAATAATATTCAGAGTTCAAATACAAAGTGTAAGGTGACTAGTGGTCATAATTTACATCCATCGGTAAAGAAAATTTACTAAATTATGGTGACTAAATAGATCATCCAGATAACTTGGATCATCCAATAGAAATCAGAATGGGTAATGCAAAAGGTAAGATGACTGATTTGTTTTCTGATACTGTCATGTACTATTACTATTGTACTCAATGTGTGGGAAATGTTTAAATTTTGAGAACATTTCCTATTAGTGATAATCAAACACACACTTAGGCACTGTTTGTAGCACTTATGATGTATGGATTGCCTTTAAGTCATAAGTAATTTAAGCAGAGGTGGATGGTTACTGGCAGTAAATCCAGATCGCACATCTTGTTGCAGAAGCTAGAGTCTATTTTAAGTCAGTGGCTAAGACAATAAGGCTATGATGTTCGAAGTGGATGGTAGTGGGTTCGGAACCCGAAACGAACATCGACTCTCAAATGTAGGCACGAAATGGGTGTCCTGCATTTCACTGCTAACCACCATTCATTTCTGCTTTTAAAATTGTTCTCAGTCTATTTGACAGTGGAGCGATAGTTTAAGACATATACATGTTCTTCTGAGAAACACCAATTACTCAGTGAATGTTACACATTTTTAAGTTTGTGGAACTCTCTTATTTTCGAAGGTTATCTCCGAAACAAAGTACATTGTATCATCAATGTTAAATTTTATAGATAAAAGATTGGTAACTATCAAGGAGTAACACTTAGCATATTCACATCATTTCATTTTGGGGATAGATTTTAATGAAAAATGTAAATGATTGGTTATTTAATAAATACTGAAGATTGTAGAGAAATAATAATTTCAACTGAATGACAGTCATATAACTCTAAGGATTTAGGAATATCATTTATAGAGAAAGATAATGTTACATAAACATTGTTATGTGTTTAACTCTTAGTGCTGATATGGTTTTGTTCAGTAATTTAGCAAAGTATTCATCAAAATTAGATGACTCAATTTCACAGGATGAAACGGCTTAACATTGATCAATTTATGATTTCAATGAAATTAGTCAATTTTGTTCGAAACATTTGCATTTCATTTGAATTGCTCATCGATAACATTTCCACCTGTGAGCATTCAACAAATGAGATCTTGTGGTTTTAATCAGAACAAATTTCACGTAGATTCCAAAAACATCTGACTTATAAATGTCAACCGGAATAGTCTTAAATCATAAGTCTCTGTTATTTGCTTTCAGCTATCTGATATTGAAAAATGTATTATCAATACAAAGTACTTTATGAATTATTAAGACTACGAAGAATCATTTCACATCGAGGATATTAAAGCAGATAAATAAACTTGAGACACATCAACTGGTATTAATTATTTATTTCATGGGGGTTTTTACATTAGATAAATCTGAATAGAGCTGCTTGTAATCCTATTCTAGTACTGACATGATAACATAAAGTAAGAAGATCAAAACTGTTTGACAGAGTTGTAGTTAAAACTTGAGATTCATTAGCTGATACAGTTTTGAAACTAGATTCTACATCAATCTTATGGCATTTCCATAATTCAAAAGAATAATAATCTAATTTGTTCAGAAGTCTTACTTTAACTGTTCATGAACATAAACTTCTAGCTTAGGACTACTTGTCTTTTAGGTTGACTGGGATTACTATTAATTTATAAGAATGACGTATAAGTGGCTTTCATAACCTTCAATTTTAAAATATGCCATTGAAAACCATCAGCTTCTTAATGATGAAATGAGAAAACAGTTCCTCAATTTAAAACAGGTTATGCATGATGGTCATCCAATATCAGGAATTGACTGTAATTTAGTGAATCGAATTTCACTGGTCTAACGATGATAATACTAGCCATAAATCTTCGAGGTTTTTTGAATTTGTCCATAATAAGATTGTGGATATGCATTACCTAGTATTCCAGTGCTAAGACTCTACAGCTCCTCAGTACTTTGTGGTTTTCTGTAAGTGTCTAGTTAAAGCCAGTTCATGAGGTAAACTTCTCTAAATATCAACAATCTTCACAAACCGTTCATGGTTAAAGAACATTTTTTTATGGAATCATTTAATCGATACTACATGTTTACTGGTGATTAAAATGTTCTGATTTATTTTACGTTATTATTTTGTGTCTAATCGTTATAAAATTGAAAAGTTAATGTACATATTGTACTTGAATAGTTTTTGAGTATTATTTTTTAATTATTAAAATAATTAATTAACTTAAGTTGTATTGATTTCAGAACACATTTTTCAAATGTATTATGAATCAAGTGTAGGTTTTAGTTAATATTATTTATGAAAAGCAACACAAATTAGAAATAATAACTAAATAAGGTGTTCTCAATAAGAAATTAGTTATATTTTGAATTTAGGTAATAAAAATATTTTTTGAAGAGAGAATATGCATACATTGTATGGTGCATTGGAAATATATTTCCCAGCGATTTGTTAATTTGTGGTTAGTGAACGGATTTCTTGATCTTCAAACTTTAAACTGATTGATCCTGTTCCTTTTGATTTAGTTGTTCTTTATACAAAACTATGACCAGATTACTATTTTAATAGTTTAATAAATGAACTCACTATCTGAGCAAGGAATGGTGCGCTATACTAATATGAAACAAACTGTTCAACTAATTTGATGAGAGTTCGTTTTTGAAATGAGTTGTACGTTGAGAAAAATTGACTATATCGAAGTCAACATTGGATAGGTAGTTTGCAACTGTAAACTACAACACTTTCATATCATAAAATATTCTTATCGATACGGCGGATAATTAAGACGATAATAAATATAAGAGGATCATAAAAAGTGTTCAAATGGTAGAATAGTTAAATGATAATTAACATAAAAATTCTAGATTGGTAATATGATGGTGAAGATTTCTAGCTCAGGTGGATGACTGTGGTGGTGTTTAGTTCTCTCAGCTGGATGTTTTATTTGTGTAGCTTTCTTTGCTATCCTGGACAACATCATCAACGCAAACTTCAGGGAGAAGTGAAGTATTTCGGATTTTACCCAACGCTGTTTCTGTTAACCTCGATCCTGATTGGTTGTTATTGACCTTAAACCTGTCGTTGTGTGAACCTTTGTTCTGATTGTGTCCACTTTTGATCTGTTTCTTGTTCCTATATCGCCTATGATTTTTCTGATTGGTTGAAAAATTCGATTTATATCGATATGTTTGTTGGTTTCTGATTGATCTGAGTGCCAAGTTTCTAAAAAAATTTTTAGTGTTCTTTGTGCTCCCCTCATCCAGTATTTCAACATCGTTCCAGTCCATAGCTGTTTGTGTGTATTGATATAAGGGCAGAAAAGTCATGACGTTTTTTTCACCACTAACTGATGTTTACGTAGACTAAGCTGAAGAGAACGTCCACCATGTCCGATATTGTGTTTTTCAAAGTGTGAGCAGTTTATTTTGTAGACAATATTTAGACTAAGTGACAGAAGAAGAAAAACCAAATATCATCTACGAAATAAATTGTTCAAACTGTGAAAAAAGCACTACGCAGGACAAAGTGGACGTCCTCTTCAGCTTCGTCTACTTTCACTTACATGACCAGCAATCACACGTTGAAAGTTAAGTTGACCGCTGAGTCCCAATTTTCGAAGAATATTCTCATTGATATTGATCTGAAATTATATAAATTCGCAATAGTGAACCATATATTAGAAGTTGTAATAATCAACAAGAGAACCTGGTAGTTTATCTTTATAGTAGTAGTAGTAGTAGTAGTAGTGTGGTGAACGAGAACACAGGTGGGGCAACCAAATTGTATTTAACGAAAATTACAGAGTTACTCAGTAAAATAGGAAAACCATATCGTAAATCGTTCATTTGCAAAATATCAGTCCATCATATCGAACTGGACTATTCCTGTTGCAAAACATCAATCCATTGTCACTATTCATGTGTTTCATACAAATTCCATTGTGTTCTAACTCTTCCTTTCTTGATCTTCCTCCATCTTCTACTGCCAGACATTACGTTGACACTCACGCCATATACTACTTATAAGTAGCTCGCCCCACAGTAGTAGTAGTAATAGTGATAGTAATAGTAATGATATTGTTACTTGTAACAGTAATAGTATTAGTAGTAAAATTTCACTCAACAATGATTCAATAGAATGCAACCAGATTCAATAGCAATAAAAATACAATTGAATGACTAATTTTGTATTTCAACGGAGTATGGTTTGAATGACAATTTTCTTATCACTAATTTTTTTTTTTAATTTTGAAGGATTTATTTATAGACTAATGTGAAATGTGATTTGTTTTATTGCATTTTTTCTTAAAAAAAAATAAAAAAAAACCAAAATTAACTACATCACAATTCACCAACAAGGTATGAAATGGAATCTGAATTGGTCTAGGTACTTAACAGTATGATATTACACTCTCTGTAGGTTGAAATTGACAGATCAGTTTTTAAAGTGATTACGTCATCGTCTATAGAGAGACGAATGGGTAATCAATTAGTTTTGGTGTTTTTTTTTAAATCTTAACTGTAATTACTTGTTACAGCAAGTCTATAGTTGTAATGCGTTTTCAGATTTAATGAATTATAGCCACAATTATTGAAAGTATGTTTTATTTGAAGTCAATTATTGATGTAAACCAATAAATGGACAGTTTCCATAAAGTTTAAAAAGTTTACTTCGACACCCAGTAGAATATATATACAAAAGTTCAGGAATTATATTTACTGATGAAATCGTAGACAAGAAACACTTTGGATGCAGAATAAGAACTATAGTTATGGATTTCTTTTGACTAGTTTTAGGAACAGCTAGTGATCATTTTCTTTAGTTCCAAATTTCTAGTGATTGAAATTAAAAACAACTTACTTCAGAATAGACAAATGCTTTGGTGGAATTTCATCTTTTGAATTGAATAGTTTCATTGTGGAGCTTTCATCATTGGCATAGTTGAAGTTCTCAAATTTCTTCACATACGACTAACAGCTTGTCCTGTTCACTTCTGTCTTCAGTAGTTATCGCGATGATTATCGATTAACCTGAGTATCATGTTTCCAAAAGTCCACCGCTTTTCTTGGTGTTCCCTCTATCTGAAATCCCAACACTTTCCAGTAGAATGTATCTAAGCAATTATCCACATACACCGACACAGGGGAAAACATGTCATGGCGTTGATGTTCATTCAGGTGAAGATAAACGGGTGTGCAATTTGTCTGCTGTATTGTTACTGGCAACTGGAGCAGTTCATTCTGTTAGTTGGTTTCGCTTCTTTCATCACTTCATATTTTAATTTGAATAAGATTGATTAAAGTGATTTTGATGGTTTATATGCTACACCTATTCCATACAGTTTCAATAATCTCGTCATCAATTCTTGTTATGTTTTTCACATGTGGTAGGATGTTTTATCTGCTAGTTTTTGTTTTTGCTAATGAGTTGGTTTGATACTTTTGAGAAAGCTGCGTAGGCAGGAGTTCTTCTGAAAGACAATTATCAGATATTTTGTTCATTTTTCTTAATTGTGTGTTTCAGTGTGTTCTCATCCTCTTCAATGAAGTTTGTATGTGGTTGGATTTGTAATTTATTGTGTTGTTGATAGTGTAATTGAGAATTTGATCTGTATAGGTTGGCTGCCTATATACTTGAGTCTCCAGTGTCCTTGTATCGATTCTGGTGATCAGTACGTCAAACAATGATGTTCAGTTGTTCGACTCTAATGTTATGTCGTCGAAGACGTTGTTGATCTAATTGCAGGCGTTTTTCAGCTCATTCTTTATGATTTAAAATCAATTTCTTATTATCTTTCTATAAAATCTGAACTGCTCATAATTCTACATCTTTCCAGATTCAGTCAAATCATTTGCTTTTCTTGCCCTTATATCCACTCATTGTTTGGAGATATTCATTAGTAGCTAAAAGGAGACATGTAAACTGCACAGATGAGTAAGCATCTGCAGCACTTAGGATTCTGTTGAATGGCTTTAGGGATATCCAAAAGAAAGTGTGAGTCTGTATATTTCATTACACTTTGTACATACCGGAGAACGCGGAAAAAAATCGACTCATAAATAGTTTACTTCTTGCACTGTATGTTTGGGTAGGGTTAACAACTCAACTTTTCTTTACTTAAGTAGACAGATATTTAAATCGTTAACTGATATGTATGAGTAAACAGACGGAAGGCGGGAACATAAACAGTCAACTCCACTTTCCTATCACATTGGGAACATTTTAATAGTGAAAAGCACTAAGAGCTAAGATGAATATCCCAGTTTGGAAGTGTGTACTGTTGCAAGTATGCATTGTATATGTATGTATAGAATGCATAGACCGATGCTAATACAAGTCAAAGTACACAAACAGGCATGGATACTTCCAAACGAAAGAATATAATACATGCGCATATACAGCATATAGACCAGCATTTACAAACATCATAGTTTACACACAAGTATAGATGCTTTTCAATCAAAACCTTAGCGCAAACGTATCAACCAGTGAAATAATAACAATTAATTCAATCATCAGAACTACAAATCGTCTTTAGACGATGCGCTCCTTTGCTCTTATGTCACAAAAAAGTATAGTCTCGACTCTTAAGCACTGGTTATGGCACAGCCTACAGTTAAAACTTTGGTCCACCCCAACTAAACCTTATGGACCTGCCAAGAAATAATCCATTCTGGGATTAAAACAGAAATTTTTTCCCAAACACAAAACTCACTCGTTTATGAAAACCCATACTTAAGACAGAGTTAAGGATTAGCCCAGTCTTCATCTACACTGGTAGAGTAATGAATTAACCTGATCCCTACTTAGCCGCCATTGTTAACTTGTGAACGGGGTTTATTAACTGTAGGGCATATCGGAGAGGTGTTGGTTAGTCAGTAACCCTGGATAGAGTTTAGTTGCAGAGTTTAAAACGGTGACGAGATGAAAAAAGTTTTGATTTGCAATTTTTTTTCTGCCGAAGTGATATTTTTAATTTAGTACATATTATTTCCAAAATTTGTACTACTAATGCCCTATGTAGTGTTGTGGATCTAGACAACTGGGTATGATATGAACACGATTCGATATTAGAAAAAGTTTTATGATTAGTTAGAGCCTTATAGTTTACAACTTAATCTCATGAATCATGTTTACATCTACATTAACTATGCTTACGTTACCTTAAATTACGTATATGATTCACTTAGTAATCATGATGACAGTTCTTCTTCCCACTGATGGCGATTGAAAGTAAGTATTTTTAAAGCGACCGGACATTGTTGTCCAGTTACTGAACAATTAAATGAAATGTTGGGAAATAATTAATCTCAAAAAAGTGGTCACTATCGGTTGAAGTCATAACTGATAAACTGAAACTGATTACATGGGTTTTATCAGTCCTTTTCTTCAGTTACCAAAAGTGACGTAATACAATTTAATATTTATATAGTTCATTTCGTTTTCTACATTTCAAAGTTATTTCATTAGGCTTTTTGAACTGATGAAAAGATTCTTTTTTAAATAATTGGAAGCCTTAAAGAATGAAGAATAAATTTTGGATTGAGTTTTTTACCATGATATTGTACATTGACCTCAGGTCATTGATGTAGTAGTATCAGCGTACAGTTGTACTTAACTCTTAACAAGAAACGCTCGTTTGAATCTATTAATTTTGTTTGCTATACATTCGATCGTGGATAAATATTTGGCAAGGGTCATGTAGATGCCTTGTAATTTTGAAGAGTTTTAACACAATAGATCTAAGTTAAATCAGTCAGAATAGGAAATCTATTAGTCAAATAAGTAATTTTGAGTTTTATTAGTGGAGTACGTTATTCCTAATCATAATATCTGTTTAAACTTACTCATGTTGTGTATTTCAGCATGTATGTTGGATGGAGGTATTTATGTGTCGACTGGTACAGCAGTAAGTGAAAAAACTGGACCGAGTGCTTTTCTTGCTTACATTATAGCTACAATTGTGGCCATACTTAATTCTGTGATATATTCAGAATTAGCATGTCATGTTCCTAGTGTAAGTTATCATTTTCTGTCAACTCTTTTCGAAATTAATTATAAATCAAAAGAAGGGTGTTTTGTTCTTTTAATGTAACATCAAACATTCTAGGAGTTTTGTATATAAATTGTCAGACTTTGCCTATAAAACTACTGAACCAGTTAATCTGTGAATCTTTGTAGTGTACTTACTTTCTTTCATAAAAGTTTTTCGATCAAATTATTAACATTTATTCCTTTAGGGCTTTTCAGTTGCATATTTGACGGAAAGAGTAAAGTCAAAACCTGAATTCATTTTACTACAGTTTATGAAGAATTTTTGAAGTCATGAATACTAGTATTTTCCGGATGATGGCTTTTGTAGTTCTCTAAGTTTCCGCCCCATACAGTAGGAATGTATGCACATTTGGTTTGAAAATTGTGACTTTTATGTTTGTTGATGGATGTTTTGAGTTCCAGACGTTCTAAAATTGAAGAAACGCTACCCTTGCCCTTCCAGTCCGTGCCATCACATCAGCATCAGATCCATCTTACTCATCAGTGGTGCTGCCCAGATATGTGAAAATTTTCACGTCGTCCAAGGCTTCTCCATCAAGAGTGATTCGGTTGGTGCATGTTGTGTTGTATCGGAGAATGTTGCTTTCCCTTTTGTATATGTTGAGACTTGCTGCTGCAGAGGCTGCTGCTACGCTGGTTGCCTTCTCTCGCATTTGTTATCGCGTTCCGATAGAAGAGACAGACCATCTGCGAAGTCCAGATAATCCAGTTGCATCCTGGCTGCCCACTGAATACCGTGTTTCCCTACAGATATTGACGTCTTCATAATCTAGACAATCACTAAGAGAAAGAAAACGGGTGAGAGTAAGCAACCCTGCAGGACACCGGTCATCACCTTGAACGAATCTGTCAGATGTCCTCTGTGTACGATTTTGCAGTTTAATCGATTGTAAGAATTCAGGCACGCTGTAGTGTCGAAGAAACCTCCATAGTGTTTTCCTGTCCACACTATCAAACGCCTTCCCGTTGTCAATCAAGTTGATGTATAGTGGTGGTGAATTCCATTCGACTGATTGTTGCACGTTGGAAGCCATTAACCTAGTCTTTTTGTTCTACTGTTATTAAGAGCTCTTCTAAAAAGAACTGGGCCTTATAAAGTAAATAGAGCTATATGAATAAGAGTTATGTGAAAATTTCGAAGTTTAATGACTGTTTGATCAATCAAGAATTAAATATCATTTTTCAAATGTATTTTATTGTAAAATTCCTATGAAATTATATTTACCGATTTCAATTCTGTTCAGGATGTATCCTGTTACGGACATACACATAGCATCCTGGGTGAACTCCCAGCATTTATTAATGCCTGGTCAACAATGCTTGATTATATGCTGACTGTATCGCTAACTGCACGTAGTTGGAGCAACATAGTCGACACTTTTGTCGGGTACAGAATAAGTTCATGGATAGTAAATACATTTGGAAGGTAAGTAAACTATCTCAGTATGGGAAACTGAATGACGTGGAATTTATTTTGTCAAACAGCATCAGTTACATAAAGATTACAGATAGACTAATTCTGACGAGTGCCACAAAGCACGAAACCAAGATCTATAGTTTCTTATAATTTTTTTAGGAGGCACTAATTGTCAGAATATAATAATCTTTAATAGAAGCAAATAAGCTCTGATGTAGCATAAGTAAATATTTTCTCTATGCTGGTTGTAATTTTTTTCATTTTAGTAGATAAACATCATGTGTTATACTCGATCTAATTGAAAAATTACAAATCATAAGTTTAACATTTCTAACATATATATTGGAATGTAGCTTTTACATATTCAATGTGTTTCTTAAAGTTTATGATAATACTGTAATAGTCAGTCTGGAGTGGTCCTGTCAATCATCCATTTGTGCAATTAATTAATTATTTCACCACACACACACACACACACACACATTTTAACAGGAAATCAATAAAGATGGATAGATTGTGTTGTTGAGTTATTCTAGTCAGCACGATTTAGTTATGAATCCTTGTACTTCAATGAATTCAGTTTATGAATTATGAGCTAACAGTTCACTTATCAAGTGATATGATGATAAACTGAGTCAAGCATTAAATTAGTGAATACAATATTGATCAACGGATAATTTGTAATGATATAATGTGGTAGGTGATAACTGCTCAAATGATTAGATAACTTTTGTTATCGTTTAATAGAATCAGTCAGTCAGTCAGATGCAACATAGAACTTCGTACGTAAGTACATCAGTTCATGTTACCATACCACATCAGCACAAGATATAATTGTCAATTCAAGTCCAATAGTAGTAGAGGTAGTAAGGGAATTAGAAGTAATCGGAGAGGTTAGAATTAGAAGATATTATTTAAGAAGTATGATTCAGTGAGAAAAGTTTAGAAAGTCAGAACTAGAGGGTTTGAAGAATCCAGAAGATTAGGATTTGAGATAACACCAAGAATAAAAGCACCAGCGCCATTGCAAACGGTTTTGTGCCACGTCATTCAAGGTCTCTAACCATCGATTATTATCATCTCGCGGACCCCAACTAGGTAGTCGACAACTACCGACATGGCTAAGTCCACTCTTCAATGACTTCGCGGATTTCTGCCATGTTTTGGTTTGGCCGCACCTAGCTTTCTTCCAACCTATTCCTACACTACGAAACATAGCTCGACGAGGCAGTCGGTGGTTAGGCATATGCAGCACATGTCCCAACCACCTCAACTGATGAAGTTTCATTACCGAAGCTGCTACCTTGACGTGGTGGTGGGGCTTGCCTATCGTCATGACCCAACCGAGCTATACTGGCTGGAACTTATGTTCCCGAAAGTTCTACCATGACAGGCAGTTCGATTGGAGAACGATGAGACAAAAAGCAGCTACTCAAGGTCTGAGGGCGAAGTCGTACTGCTGACTAATGCAGAGGGATGTGACAGCAGTAAGGTGTTTCTCTCGGACAACCAGCATCTGCAGCAATGCTGCCTTCTCACAAGGAGGGAAGGGTTAGAATAGGTCGACCCTAAAAATGTCACTACCTCCGTCTCCGTCGGTAAGGGTGCCCACTAAGGGCTTTCAAGAGCGGAGCTAATACTCAAAAATCCTTTCATAAAAAGGCCGTGCGTGACCGGCCTCAAGCAGTTGTCTCTTGGACTCTGCGGTGACGCAACCAGGTCTCTAAGACCAACACCAATCTATCTTCCTTTTCACGTTCCTCAACAAACAACCTTCCATGGTGTGGGCAGCCGGGAAGTGACAACCGCCCTCATACCCGTAACAGCACACGAGACCAAATTGGTCAAAACTCAGTCCTTCCTACACCCACACATACCTCTCTCTGGTTTAATAGATTCAATATTAGTAAACCAGATAACTAGCTTGACGAAATAGATGTCTTATGTAATCAAGTAACATGCTTAAATACAAAATACTAACATATGATTCAATGTTATCAATGATTAAATAATGCCTATTTGAAAGGCCACTTACTTGTCCAATGTATTAAGGCTTAGATAAAATCAGAAACTTGCATTTTAATCATGGCAGGACATAAAGAGGGTTAGATTAAACGTAATCACACACTTTTCCGTTATTTTTAATAGAATTAAAAAAATTATCTGACTCATCATACAAATGTAAATATGTCAGCTTATAATTATAGTCCTATGTCAGGACGAAACGGCCATCCAGTATGCTTCCAGGTTTCTGTTACGCTCGTCGCTTGGTAAGCTTGAAGCTATTACGAGTTCACCTTGGTCGATAAACGCGAACGAGACAATTACCAGCGTCCAGATAGGTTATCTTGAATCCCAAGCTGAAGATAGAAGGCTTGGTAAGCGTAGAAAGTATATTCTACAAACACCCAGCAATCACAATACAATCAAGCACACAACTCTCGTTTATTTATACATCATAGAAACGTCCTTGAGACAGTTACGAAAATAGCACACTAAAATACACAACAGCCAATCACAGCCATGGATTTTCCTGGTGGGAGATGAAATCTCAAGGTCAATTGATCAACCCATGCTGACAAAGGTGAAATCCAAAATAAGGCATTTATCAAGCGAGTTCTGGGGATCTAACATCCTCAACAGAGTATCATCAAGGATTTAACTCACATTGTAAATGTGTCTTATGCAATGAGTTGTTACAAAGAGAAATTATATGGACATACTATATTTTGAGGTAGCCATCACAAGAAAGCCAGCTCTTGATAATTACTCAGTTGTTCCATGTTATGGAATTCTACCCAACAGTAAACCATCATAACGGCTATAACAACAATTCTATTTTGAAACCTAAAAGTAAATTTATTTGATACATCAGATGAGTAGGATTGAGGCATAGAAATTTTCATAAATCACTTTAATCTATATTCTATTCTTCAGAATAGGTAAAAATATGAGTGTATTTTCTAGATAACTGATTGTGAAAGTCAACATTGAAGTGCATGTACACCAAAGGGACAAATCGAAATCAATATGAAATGAGCTTCAATTCTAGACATAATCTACTTGTTCTATAGATATAAGATATGTATGTATTCGGTGTTTTTATACAAAAACTGTTCACTAGTATTTGGTACTAATTTACGGTATCGAAGAAATTTAGAGTGTATTCAGTAGAAGTGAAATGATACAGTATAGATTACCCATAGTTTCATATGAGCAAGTGATCACAACACATGTCAAACATATTGATCATCAGTACTCATCATAAAGTTGATTCACGTTTTGACATTTATCGATTTAGTGGAAAAAGCCATGCATTTTTATGAATTTTAAATTATATTTGTTTGCTCAAGAAATAATAAATTGATTTTCAGTTTTTTATTTCAAAAAATTACTATTACAGATTATCACCTCCAAATGGATTATTGTCAGAATATCCTGATTTTGTCAGTGCACTAGTGATTCTTATTCTAGCCATTTGTTGTTGTTTCGGACTACGCAACAATTTAGCTTTGACTGTAATCTCAAGTGCTTTAAATGTTGGAGTACTGTTGGTAGCTACCATATACATGTTTATTCATGCTAGAGCAAATCATTTCTACCTGATCCACCCTGCAACTACAACAAAGTTTACATTTCTTCTACCATATGGAATTCTTGGTTTAATAAGTGCAACAACAATTAGCTTTAATGCATTTGTTAGATCTAGTGCACCAACGTCACGTACACATGAAGTTAAATATCCTGCTTATAGTCTACCTGTAGCAAGTATAACTAGTATACTCATCGTGGGACTTGTAACCACACTGTCGGCATTAGCATTGACTCTATATTATCCTTGGTTTTATATTGACGCAGAGAATGCATTTTTAAATGCTATCAAAGATAACAAAGATTCTCCTGGTGGAAATTTTGCAAGAATATTCATGTTTTGCTTAATTGGCAGTGGATTTATACTTGGATTACTTACCAGTCTGGTAGCACCAATGTTGGCTGGTTTAAATATTTGTTTAGCTATGGTTCGTGATGGTTTTATGCCAAACTTATTTTCATCAGTTTGTCCACCTTTCAAGGTAATGTTTCATTTGAAAAGCTAATAATGTAAAGTGTGTGTGCGCAAGAACCATTGACCCATTATAGTTTTGTTTGACTTTTTATATACACACATATATGCGATTCATATCTAATTGAGTTTTTTTTAAATTGAAGAGGATTTATTTAGTTACCTATTTATACTACTACTGTAAGTGTGCTCATTAAAAAAGCTATCAGTAGTGTAGTAATGTAAAACAAAATATACATTAACGAACAATAAGGTTATAAGTAACACCGGATCTTAACCAACAACTCTAGTTGATGTGCAATGGTCTATCAGACAAGATAAGGGTAACACTTGGAGTTAGTTAGTAGACAATATGTCTTCATCTTATGTGGTTATAGATAGTCGATAAGAAATCTTAAACATTTTTTGCGTACTATTTCAGGCTTGTCAACCAGGTGTACTTGTAACCTCGACATAACTGGTGTTCTCAGACTGAGTCGATTACCCGTCTTTTAGTTTCGCATCCTGAGAAGTTGCCACTGAGAAATCTCAGCCTTGACTAACCTCTTGTAGGACTGAAGTCATTGATAACGACTCAGAGTCGGGTTCAGCTGAGAGCATCAGTGACACCAAGGATACAGGTAAACCTTGATGATGAATGCCGCCAAAATGTACAAAACCTAGGTCCGAGGTTCCTTCAAGACTACCTTCAACTACCTAACATCAAAACACAGTTTATAAGAAACCGAGACATTTAGAATGGTGTTTACATGGCAGCGCGACTGATAAAAGTCGGCCAGGACTTAAATTATTATAGAAACCTGATATCGGTCATTATTCAGTGATGGATTAGTCGTAAATGTAATATCTTTTAATCAAACTACCTAACGATATAATTTTAATATCGGTAGAGAATGTCAAGTTTTTATGTCTATTCCAATTTCGAAACAAAGAAACCGAAGTTATGATTTATAGATTTCCAAAAATAGCCGACAACAGACACTACAGTCATAATGGTAATCGTTTGATAAAATTACATGGCAAAAAAACTGTTTCAACAACAATCACAATTAAGTTATGTGACTAGATCTACTGATTTTTTTTAAATCATCAACATAAATGTTAATTTCAGAATTTTTCTGCCTAAAATTTGTAATATTTTCATTAAAGTTGTGCGGATTACTTGCTACAATGAACTGGAATAGTTTTGATAGTTTATTTGGTGTTATAGATATGATGACGCCGAGAAATAGAGAAAGATATGAGAAGAATGGACAAAAATCGGACAGAACTGGAAAGGGAAGCTCAGGACAGAGTTGGTTGGAGAAAACTGGTGGGGGGCCTATGCTCCATTTGGGGCTAACAGGCGTAAGTAAGTAAGTAATATGATGACAGGAAGAATGAGTCGGTTAACAGATCTATCCACTTTTATCAAGAACTTTAGTGGTTTATACGAGTTATAAAAACAAATGAACGTGGATGATTAGAATACAACATCTAGGTTTGATTAAAAAACACTAAGAGATGATGTAAATGACATTTTAAACAGCTAGAGATTTAACAAGTACGCTGAAATATGTATAGGAGTGAAATCATCCAAAGAATGAGGGTGATATGCTTTTAGGTTTCCAAAATAGAGTTTTCTTTCTATACCATGTATGTACTCGTACAAAAATTCCCATTTTCATATAATTTAAAAAAATTCAACCAGTGTAACTTTTATCTGGTTTCCTTTTCTTCTTCATATAGAAACCATTGATTGCAACAATATTCCTTACAATTTTCACTGGTTTATTCAGTACAATATTTACTGTACAAAGTTTGACAAGTTTCTTAAGTTTAGGCACATTAATTGCCTACTGTATTAATGCAATCAGTGTTATGTGTCTGCGTTATCGATCACAGACAAGCGAACCACAAAATGAAGATGAATATGATCATGTTGACGGGAAAGAATTTGAAAATTACCGAGTAAGCACTTATCTAGTGTACATATATATATATATATATATATATATATATATATATATATATATATATATCACATTGAATCATAAACATTTCAATAGTTAATAAAAAAAACCACTAAATGGAGTCAGTTTTCTAAATTTTAAACAAAGAAAATAGTGTGCTTTTTAGTTGCGAAATCAGACTGTAAATTGAGTCTGATAATGTTTTTGTTAGGATATTTTTTCCAATATACTAAGAGAAATATTTGTGTGTCTAGTTTTATTGGTCAATTCCTACTGGTCAATATTATGGTCGTCCTAACCATCAGTGTCACTTCAAATGTTGTTTCGTATTGGCCGTCCGAACTATCAATGTCACAGACTTCAATGTTGGTTCCTATTCAACCTAACTGTATAAATACGCATTATCTGTAACGTCTTATGACCCGGACCCCCAAGTCCGGGATCCTGATTCTCTTCTGGACTCGAACGTCATACCTTCTGGATGCTTGTAGAATACAGGTTCTATTCCATCTCAAATTTTCTTCTTTTACTCTATGGGGGTCGGGACACTCGGATTAGAGTAGCCTGGCGTGTCACCGGATCCTCGATCCTCGCTCTCGTTTTCCGACTGAGGTAAACTGGTAATATTTCAAGTTTATCAAAAAATTGACATGTTTACGTGTATTCGTAACAGTTTCGCTGAGGGTTTTTGCTTCATATAATAAGAGATATTGATTCTGAAAGAATTACTTCTGTTAGATAATCAAATCATTGAGTCGATTTGCAATGAAGCAAATTCAAAAACAATGCTTTTTTACTTGGAAAGCTTGTTTTTAAAATAGGACATTTTTTAAGTAGTACATTGAGTGAAATGAATAGAATTCAATAAATATATATTGTGTTAGGTTATGAGTTGTATTTATTGTCCAACGGCTAGTGACAGTAGTTGAGTATGATTTACCGAAGTATTTTTTGTTATGCTCATCACTTGATATGTTAGAAACTATTGCGGGTTCACCCTAGTCGATAAACGAGAATGAGACAATGAACTGGTGTCCGGGTAGGCTACTCTGATCCGCTGACTCAAAAAGAACTAACGTAAAAGTCTTGGTATTGAGTAGAAAGTGTATTCTACAAACAATTCGTGTTTATTTATACATCATAGAAACGTCCTTGGGAGAGTCACAAAAATAGCACACTAAAATAACACAGCAACCAATCACAGCCAAGGATTTTCCTTTTGGGAAATGTGATCTCAAGGTCAACTGATCAGCCCATGAATAAAATCCAAAATTAAGACCTTTATTAAGTGATTGTTGGGATCTAACGTCCCCAACATTTATCCTGAATATTTTATGTGATTGACTGGTAATTATTCCACAAACGCTGATGAATGTTCTATAGTGATCTAGTGAAGGTAGATCATAAAATTATTTAAAATTTTTACTCAATTATCGTATGTAATTATTGATAACCTCTTATAGACTAATTTTACATTCTCTATGAATATTTTTATACTATACAGAATGCATATTACAATAAACGAATCGGTGAACCAGGATATATAAAAAAGAAAATTGGTTATCGTTTATCTGATCAAATGTTGAAATTGATCAATTCCGGTGTTCCTGGTAAAATGGTTATCTTTTTAATAGCTATTTATGTCACTTTGAGTATTGCATTGGTTGTTTGTTTGACATTTGGGGTGACTGGCAAATTAGCATCAATAATGAAGATTATTGCTATCTTATTTATTATTATCCTACTCATGCTCACTATTATGTTCATCAGTTTCATTGAACAATTCAAGTCACCTGATGCTCATCGATATCGTGTAAGTTGTCGATCAATATTATTTGAAAGATTTTCTATTGATAAATTCTGATTTTCAAAAAAAATATTAAAAATGCTTTTAAATAAGAACTAGAGTTAAACAAAATAAGTCTGCTTCGTATTATTTCTTTATACTTTGATGGTTATTTTTTTTTATTGAAAGTGGATAGTTAAATTGATCTTGTACTTTTATTTACATTGTACTCAATCAACAGAATAACCAAGTACAGTCGGCATTTTACAGATGATCTGAAATGATGGTAACTTTTTCTTATTATTTAATGTATAGTTCTGAATATGATAAATGTTACGAGGCTCCAGTATATCGATGAACTGTAATAGAAGTTTAGAGATTCAAAAGGTTTATTTATTTTTAGTTGAGTTCAAATGCATCCAAATTCATGAAATTATTAATAACCGGAAATGATTTTTTATATTTTGAAATCATCAATCAGTCATTGTTAGAACACCTTTAGAAACATGGAAGCACTGGACAGCCATTTTGTCCTGGTATGGGACCCATTAGCAGTGCACATCCACGATTCTTACACCTTCATGGGATTCGAACCCGGGACCTTCGGTCTTGTGCGCGGACGCCTAACCTCTAGACCACTGGTTATCGCAGTGATGAGAAAAATCTAAATCTGAAGATAAATCTAATGACTGATTTGGACGAGAATTCACGCTTATCGAAGAACCATAAGTCACCGGACTAGTTAAGAGTTACTGTACTGGTATTACAAATTATCATGTTTCATTAACAAGAATCATTGTTAATGTTATAGTAGCATCTCTGCATAAATTTCATCTTCTTGTCTAGTTTTATGAGACGTTTGGTGCACATACACGTAAACGAATCACTAACATCGTTTGTCTTATATATTCTAGACATTTTTAAGATATGAACACTGAACTTTGTGGTTAAATCGAATTATGCTACATAAATGTTTCTTTCGTAGTAAGTACGTTTTGAGCGGAGATAAAAACTATGTACATGCACTCTGTTTGCAACTAAAATAAGAGAGTGATTGGGAGCTGTCACTATACCATGCTGAACCAAGTTTGTCGAAGTCAGGAACCTTCTAACACCATATTCATGAATATTGAGTAACACAATAGTTATTAGTGATATGCTTGAAACTAGTACGAGTTCACCTTTCTCGGTAAATGGAAGGAAGATCAATCATGCAGTGATACGGTAGACTATGTTAATCCGATTGTCTCAGGCCCCGCTAACTAGAGCAAGAAGTCTTGATAAGGCGCAGAGAATGTATTCCACAGTCACCCAGAAAATACGAGGTTGCCAAGAACACAACTGAAGCTTATTTATACAATTGATAAAACGCCCTTGGTGAGAGCCACAAAATAGCGTACTTGAATAACTCATCAGCCCATGATAGTCAAGGATTTTCCGAGGAGGAAATGTAAGCTGAAGGTCAACTAAGCGTCTTTGGAGCGAAAACATAGAAATTAAAAATTTCAGAAATAAATCACAGAATTTGGTTCTTTTCCGAGTGAGTGCTGGGGATCTAACGTTCCCAACAATTATACACATATCAGAAACCACCAGTACTTAAATGATATTTTCAAACCTTTCTTTTCAGGTTCCATTGGTTCCATTACTTCCATGTGTGACATTAACAATAAATCTACTACTTCTTTCTCAGATTTCATGGTTTAGTTGGTTCCGTTATGGTGTTTGGATGCTATTCGGTATGTTACTTCTTTTTCTGAATTCGTGAAAAATATTGTGTCAAGAATAATTTTGTAGTTAACCTGGCTGTTTATCATAAGAATTGGGATTCATATTGATCTTAGCCATTATCGATGTGATGAACTAAATTATCCTTTGAAATCCAATGAGCACTGGATGCTATGTGATCATAGTACGGGATTCTTCAGAAGTCCTCATGAGAGGAGACTTTAAAGCAGACCAAACCTAGAATATTGGGTTTCGTGCACTGATGTGGAGTCCTTTACTAGTACAGTTGCTATAATACACAACGATATTTCAGACAACTGCATTGATAACAGTGATGACATAATTGCAGAGATTTTTCGCCAGTATATATTTCGTTATGCAATCTATGTGATCACATCAACACAGCATCTACAATTATTATTTTCTCTCCAGTGGTTCGGATTTTGATTTCAACTAGTATATATAGAGTTATCTTGTTTGTTTATAAAATCTGGAGATTCTGGGATACATTCTATAAGGTATCCAAAATCATCGAATTGGTGAAGTTATCGATAATGAATGACAGTGATGATTATCTTTTAATTATCTACATCGTTTTTTTTCAAATTTCAAGTTAATACCATTGAATAAATTGAAAATATAATAGTCATTTTATAATAGGAAAAAAATAAAATATTTTTTTGATATTTCAAACGAATTTCAAGTTAATGACGCTTTGATAGGTAAACTGCAAGTCGGTTCTTCAAAGAATAGAAAAAATTTCCAAATTAACAAAATTTTCAATTGTCTGAAGGACAAAACTGTACATCAAATATTTAATGCATACAAACAAATTTGATCAATCCAAAATGTTTTGTCATTCAAGTTATGGATAATTCTGTTCTATTTTTACAGATATATACATAGTTATGTAATTGCATGCATAAAATGTGTTTACATATACAAACATTTGCAACATGTTGTTAAACAGATTACTTGTGATTATTTTTAGAAAAACCAGGTTGGTTAAACAGTCAGGTTTTCTCTCCTGCTTCGAAGCGAATAAGTTAAAGTAGCAAATGAAATTTTTCAGCATTTGATCTTTTTCATGATTTATGAAAACCTTTAAAAATTGGATGAAAATTTGTAATATCTCATATGATGGTTGTTGAGTTTAACATATACAACAACCATTGCCGATTTCGTGCATACATTTTAGATTTTAACAAGACTGCTAAGACATTTGAAGTAGTAGTCAGGTGAAATACCTCAATAAAGCAGTACTTATTTAGGTATGTGCAATGAGGAACCAAGCACAGATGTGCATGTTGCCATAATACAATGCAGTGAGACCGAATCATTAAAAAAATACCAGTGTGGTAAAATTTACTGACTGTATCAGAGGTAATAGAGAAGAGTAGTCATAAATAATACTAATTTGAAAGAAAGTTCAACTGTGAGATAAGGAAAGTATACAATGATTCTAAAATTCAAGATATAAAGGGTTAGAAAAGGGAATGGTACCTACACCCGTCGTGTTCACTGTGCACCGGAAACTACTTTTTAATTTAGACGTTAAAGAAAGGATGGAATTGTCTTCTAAGCAAAGGTTGTGAATTGTTTGTTGCAATGTAAATCATAAAAGCAAGAATTGATGGTTACCCAGGGTATGTATAGCCGAACGTTATAGTTGACGGCATCAAACCGTACATCACGTGACACAGGAACAACAAGCGAACACCGCTGACGTTCATGTCAATAGCTATCACCGTACAGAATTAGAAAGGAACAACAATGATCCGAGACTTTTTAACCACGGTACCCAAGCTGCCAAACTAAAATGATAAGGTTGATCAAATTGTGACTTAGTGTTGAAAAAAATTCACACTCTTCGCTTATCACAGGAAACGTTACCGAATTGCTAGGTTCAGCTGAATGATAAAAACTGTTAGGTATTCAACCTCACCTGCAGGATCGACGTCAACATTTAGAGGAACTTGGCCTTATGCATTATATGGTTTTTCAGTGTCGGACGATATCTCGTAACCTCCAGAATTCGATCAGTGGTCCGTTTTAATCCATACACTGCGTTGTTATAAAATAAAAGTACTAACTCCAATTAATCTGATAGCTGGAAATGAAGACATTGGGAAAGTCTTTCTTTGAACATTTGGTTGTCAATTATCATCATTTTGACAACATTGCTACTGCTGATCTCCTACCCTTGGGATTATTCATCTGATCATTGTCAACCGGTCAATCCTTCCGTTTCTGGAATAGCCCATAAAATAATTCACAGTACTACTAGACAAATGTTTTATAATGTACCTGTTTAGTTTTGTGTAGTTAAAGCCTTATAACTATGAAGATCGGTCACTTTGTGCTCGCCGAAATTAACCTTTGTATATAGGAGCCGTACTTTGATATTATATCTAGATAAAATGTGATAACTGTCAGCGATGGATAGTCTCAACTTCCTGGTCAAATCACTCTAAACCGGTATTTGGTCATGGGATTCATAAACTCCACGTTAAAAGTAACCAGAATATACAAAAATGAAAACAATACTTTAAAAAAAATCTATATGAGAACTAAACAAAGAGCCAAATTTAGAGGATTTTTTCTGAAATTTTTAACCAATAAATTTATTCGTTGTTTATTCCTTTTAAAATTTTAATTCAAACAACTTTGGATAGGGTTTAATAATTATGTAGCTTTTTTGATAAAGTCAGTACACAACTTCTTTTTTTGATGATAAATAATATTTTCAGACAGTTTTGGAGGTTTGTGTTTTTACATATTTTTGAAATCATCAATCAATCATTGTTAGACCATCATTAGAAACCTGGAAGCACTAAAAGACGGCCGTTTCGTCCTGCTATGGGACTACTCATCAGCAGTGCACATCCACAACTCCTGAACCTCGCGGGATACGAACCCGGGACCTTCGGCATTATTCGCGAACGCCTAACTATCGGACCACTGGGTAGGCATCCAACGGCGTTAATATCTAACTCTAATTGATCGAGGGATTCTGCGCGACCTCACCCATTTGTCTTCGGTAGTTACTGTCTACACCCTACAGGGTTGAACTCCATTGGTCTCAACTAGAACTTTGAGAATTTCCTCACGAAGCTAGTCACTAGTGAGCACCTACCTACACAAATTACGAATCATTTGATTTTACGAATAACATTGTCTATTAGTCGAAATTAACATTTGAATCAATATAGATTGACGTATACCATTCGTAAATTTTTTTACACATGTATCTACTATGCAAACATTAAAAGAAAGATTTATGTAATTCGTCAACAAATTGACATGTCTGAAAAACACTTTGACGCTTAAATGATTGTAATGATTATAATTTATTCTTGTTTGTTCGTTTGCTTTTTTCTTTTTTCTATTTAAAAAAAGGTTTATTAATATACTTCACATATGGAATAAGACATGCTTATCGAATGTCTGAAGAAACTGACAGTTGCATATCATCGAAATGTCTCAGTGATATAGAGTATGAGAAGAAATCTTCATCAGATGGATCAGTAGAATTTATTGATCCAATCCGATTTTGATCAAGTGACTTTTTATGTGGTGCTGAAAAGTTGTTGTTGTTTTGAAGCCATCATATGTTCAATAGTTTGATAGTTGATTGACTGATTGATTGAAGAAAAACTGACAAACTGAAATGATATTTTTATTTTCAGTGTTGTTATTGTCGTCATCATCATTACCATACATATTTCATGAGAATTTTTGTTGTCATATATGTAACATTTTTTAAATGAGAAAAAATTTATGAACAATAATTGACATTAAATTTTTTTTTTGTTTAAATTGTCATTCAATGTTCAATATTCGTCGTGGTGAATAACGCATGAAGAAATTGAAGTTGTTTGGAGCAGTAATCAAATCTTTTTGAATTATTTGTTTTTTTGACAACATCGATAAAAATCAATACATCGAGTCTTAGAAAATTATTAATATCCAGTAAGGTATTTGCTAGCAAATGATAAGCGCTACGAATTTGTGCTTGTTCAATGAATGGAGTAAGCGTACAATAAGCAGACGATTAGCTAACGAATTAGTAATCATTGGTAATCATCAGTTTGACTGCATTACACAAACAGATATTGTAGAGTGAGTGTTCCTAAAAATGTAACAATAAAATTTACAAAATGAGTGTAAAAATCTTAAGGATTATAATATATCATCCAATACAGTATAACGGACGATTAGGAAACCGAGTTAGGTGAGTTTTTCAACTGTAATATGATACAGTGGACCAACCGGAAACGATCAAATAAGAAAGACATTTGATGACCATTAGAAATGTCCTATGGGGATGGGGGCATATTGTTGATCGGGAAATGAGTTCATTTTCTAACAGGGTGGAATATATATGCATAAAGACCAGTATTTGTATATACATATAATTCGGCAGCCAAATAGGCTTTCTCTTTTGCTCCTGCCTTCTCGCTTCGGTAGCTAGTTGAAGGGTTATCGTGTATCATGTTCAGTTTTCGGACATCTCACACTATAAAAAAAATACATTTAGCGAACTAGAATTATTTTGAAAAACTGTACTTTGAAATCGTTTTCCTAGATTTAACTTCGCTGAGAAGTTTACTTGCTACTACAAGGATCTTCACATAATACCCTTGATACAACACTAAGATGTAACTTTCTATTCGTAGTTTAATTTCTCATTTGTTCGAAAAGATAATATGAAATGAAGAGAGATAGCTTTTTTTCACCCATCCTAAAAATGACTAATTTCATATGACTAAAACACATGAGTCTTTTTAAAATTATGTTAAGAGTCTTAAATTTTTTTTCACATTCCTCAGCTTATACAAAACATGTAAGAGCAAACATTCAACAATCAAGTCAGGGATTTGATCAGTGTTATTCCCGAAAGTTATGAGCATTACTGAGGTTCATGTTAATTTATGTAGGCAGTCAATAAATGTACTTATTTCGAACAATCAACTTACATGACTTTGACTTGTTCGATCATGTTGGTTAGTTGGTTTCTTCAACTCAAAACTGAATGAAAAAGCGAGGAATTATTAGCTTGATCACACAATACGTGAAATTAAAGAACAGGTGTATCGGGTTCGAGTATCACGATGTCATGGATTGAGTTCCAGAAATCATATAAGTCATTGACTTGAGATGGTAACAAACATGGATGGTTGTATAACAACTGAAGTTCACTCGTATTTTACCCATGTTCTAAATGAACCAGTACTGATTTTTGCTGTGTTTCAAAAAGAGTAGAATCCTTACCATCTTGTATCAGATGGTGTATTATCTTTTTAGGACACTGTAAAAGATATTAATCATAAGATGTAATGTAAGAATAATTAAGGTATAAACTTTCAACTATGCCCAATAAATCGCCTAACATTTTTACATAAACTGAAACAATATAATATGAATTTTTCTATTGAAATGTAACTTAATCATCACTTTTAAGTGTTTAACCATAAAAACAAGTATTATGATTGTAAGAACTCTTACAGTCGATATTTTTTGAATTGGATTTAATCCATTTGGACTATGTATAGTTTCATCTGTTTTTTTATTTGATAATATATCTTTAACTACTTATTCTGAATTCAGTAGTATAGTTTTAAAAGTTACTTATTTCTTAATCGCACAAAGTTTAGTCATGAGAATAAACATTTAAATTAAATTACGGTTAAAATAAGTTTATATTATTCAAAGCTGCGACACATATTAGAGTTTTAACAGTGGCAAATCATTTTCATTGTCACTTTGAATAACGTTGATTGTCAATTATTGATTTACATGTTTGAATTCACTACTGATAATCTTAATGATAAAGTTAGATTCGTCAGTTGCGTGTACCTGAATCCCGTAGTTGATGTTCATCCCAAGATTCTATCTCTTTATAGTTCACTTCAAATATCTTCGCGTTATTCATTTAGCTACTGAGTTCCGACAGCCACTGGCTTTCGCAACAGGGTGAATTTCACAATTCATTTGTATTGGTAGTTTGTATAGGACAAAAAGAGCGTCCTGGATAGTCCACTGTTAGTCACTCTCCATCACTTCTTATTGTAATTGTAATTTAAGAGCTATTGCGAGGCAATATGAACAGGATGTATATATGTGAAATGAGATAGATCACTTTCACTCTTAACTATGATTGGGAAGATTCAAACTACCAATACAAATGTTGAAAAAGTTGTAAGTTTCGTTTAGACAAAAGTCCAAACGGATTTGATAGGTGTCTTCATAAATAACATACTACTGGTAGTATGGATTATGCATTTTTTTTTATTTAGCAAGGTGACTAAACAGCCATGACTGAGAGTACGGTGAGCTTACAAATCCCGTATTAAAAAAAGCCATATGATTCAGCTCAGTTAGACTGATTTATTTCTTTAAGTGGAAATAAGATAATGATTGACTGGTCACACTACAGGCGATTTCACATATGATGTTCGGTAGATGTCTTCGCGATGACTCAATGATTCTAGTCGGTCTTTTGAGAATTCTAGTCAGTTTTCACATCAAGCTCATGATATTCTTCAAATTTCAATGAGAAAATAAATGGCCGTCTAAAATGACTGACTTTCTAAAACTTCTGTCACATATTTGATTTCCTTAAGTCAAAGGAGAGGAAATAATTTCTAATTACAAGAAAATCTTTGTCAGAATGCCGAATCTATGATTACAAAACCACTGCAATGACAGATTCGTGATGCAGCTTAATTCATTAATAATTATTTTATCTGCAGTAATAAAAATTAAAATTAAACCTATCTTAGAGTATACATTTATTCTCCGTTAATCCAAAATGTGATGGACAGGCACTTTGTTGTACTCGTCTCTAGGTATGCTTAAATTATTACGAGTTCAGCTTAGTCGGATAATGAGAACAAACAATGAACCAGCGTCCAGGTAGGATACTATGATTCCTTGACCAAAAGATATCAGCGAGATGTCTTGATATAGTGTATAAACTGTATTCTACAAACACCCAGCCAGCACACAATCAATCCAAGCACTCGAATTGCGTTTATTTATACTCTATAGAGACGTCCTAGGGATAGCCACAAAAATAGCACACTAAAATGACACAGCAACCAATCACAGCTAAGGATTTTCCTGGTGGGAAATATGATCTCAAGGTCAACCGATCGGTCCATGAAATATTTCCAAAATGAAGATATTTATCAAGCGAGTTCTGGGGATATAACATCCCCAACACATTTGAGGATGGATCTGTCAGGAATAAAGAGTATTCCCATTCTTCTCAGCTTAAAATTAAGCAAATCTCCATAAATCCTCATATACGTTAACCTTTCGAAAAAAATTTACGTAAATACTCATGTTACTCATAAGTAGTAAAACATATTAGCAAACAAAATTGAAATGAACTCAAGTCAGTGTGGTATATTGGATTCAAGGCGACTTTTGTTTCAATGCATAACAATTCAAACATTCATTAATCAGCTTCATACTTATAGCTGAAGTCATATTAATTCATCGTTATCTTAAGTCAAAAATTATTTGAACTTTCTTTTATCTGTTTTGGCATCAAGATTAAAAGTTGCTTCCTTGAAATTTTTGTTCTTCAAGTTATATAGTAGATTTAAGGTAATTTTATTACGGATCATTGTGGAACAATCAGTTGAATGGAACTCACAACCATTTTGCATCAACTTCATTGACCACGTAAAAGTATTTGATAGCATGGAAAGGAAAACATTATGGAGACTTCTTCGACACTACGGCGTGCATGAAAAGATATTCAACATCATACGGAATTCTTATGATGGATTCAACTGCAAAATCGTGCACAAAGGACACGTGACAGGCTCTTTTCAGATGAAGACAGGGGTCAGGCTAGGTTGAATACTGTTACCCTTACTCTTTCTCCTGGTGATCGACTGGATTATGAAAACGTCAGCATCTAGAGGGAAGCATGGGATACATTGGACAGCTAGGATGCAGCTAGACGACTTGAACTTTGCAGATGACCTGGCTCTTCTATAGCACACGCAACAACAAATGCAAGAGAAGACAACCAGTGTAGCAGCAGCCTCTGCAGCAACACTCAACGTATATAAAGCGAAAAGCAAGATTCCGCGAAACATCTCAACATGCGTCAACCAGATCACTCTTGATGGAGATTCTTTGGAGGATGTTGACACCTTTACATATCTGGGCAGCATCATCGACAACCAAGGTGGATCCGATGCAGATGTGAGGTCGCGGATCGGCAAAGCAAGGGCTGTATTTCTGCAAGTGAAAAATATCTGGAACTCCAAACAACTACCAATCAACACCAAAATCAGTATTTTCAATACAAATGTCAAGACAGTTCTACTGTATGGTGCGGAAACTTCGAGAACTACGAAAGCCATCATCCGGAAGATACAAGTATTTATGAACAGTTGTCTTCGCAAAATACTTCGGATTCGTTTGCCAGACGCTATCAGCAACAACGAACTGTGGGAGAGAACAAACCAGCAGGAAGAAGCGGTGGAAGTGGATAGGACACACATTGAGGAAAGCACCAAGTGCGTCATAAGACAAGCCCTCACTTGAGACCCTCTAGGTAAAAGGAAAAAAGCAAGGCCAAGAAATAGAGAAAGATATGAGAAGAATGAACAAAAATCGGACAGGACTAGAAAGGAAGGCCTAGGATATAGTAGGTTGGAGGATACTGGTCGGCGGCCTATGCTCAGTTGGGGGCAACAGACAAAAGTAAGTAAGTAAGGTAATGTTAATTTACCAGCAAGAATATCAATCAGTTAAATTTTAAGGACTACTCATCAAATATATTTTTATGTAAATCCATTGGTTGTTTATAAGAAAAATAATAAAACAAATTTTAACTCTAAACCAGACAACACTTTTGCCGAATATTATTAAATAAAAAATATTTAGTAAAGTAGTGTATTACAACACTGTATTTTTAGATTAGTTAAAACTGTTGACTAGAATTCAGTCATACGAAATTACACAGAACAAGT